AAATATTCTATAATAGACTGTCTCTTTTTACCTATGAAATTATAAATGTGACTGGCACCTTACAAGATAACTGGTTACCATATCAAAACTAACCATATCAACAATAAAGTTTGTTGGGTCTAAACTCAGACCCCGCTGTATCCAAGACTTATTCCCATGAAAGAAAAGCAAGGCAACAGTGTTCGATCGATTTCTTGCGCAAGGGAGGCCTCTCGTCTGTGACCAGCACGTTGAAATGACCACACTGGTGGCCTCCTCTCGCCGCCTTTTATTGACAAACTTCAAACAATAGTTTACAAAACACCTCCCCTTGCAACCCCCCTTTGGTTACAAAGACAAGGCACTGTATGTAAATGTATACACTGAGTGTGTGTGTGTGTGTGTGTGTGTGTGTGTGTTTGTTGGTTGGTCAAAGGGTCATAAAACCTAAAAGCAGGAACAACATCCTTGGTCATAAAGAGGGCAGTCTTCCCCCACACCCAATGTATGGTTTACCAAAGATAACACAGTGAAACCATACAAAGGGTAGGAAGCTCTACCAAACATCAAACAGATCTTCAAGTTAGGATGTATCTACAATAAAACCTCCCCCAGCACAGAGTGGCTGGAGAGGTGGTCAGGATCAAAGGAATGGCTTTGATCCTACTGCTTAAACTAAGACTATACAAATTTAAGAAACACAATGGCGACATTCAACAATTAGACTTAACAAAGTTAATATTTGGTTATTTGTAATTTGTAACTTACAAATTGTATTTTCTTTTTAAATTGTCAACCCACTGTGGTTATCACTTAGTACTCCGTGTAGCCTATGCAGTTTTTTTTTTTTCTTGTTTTAGAGCAACCAAAGTTGCAAGTAGCGTAGCATTCATTTGAATGTGGTTCCAAGTTTTGGGGAACATTTATTATTCATTTTAAATTCCAATAATGATCAGTATTACTATAATTTCACCACATTTAAAATTATAACCCACTTGTTTTTTAACTTAGTGGAGGTAAGAGCTGGAGGTAAACCAGCTACAGTAGCTACTACTAACAAAAAAACAAACAAGCCCAAAACAGAACAAACACATTTTTAAAGTCAAAATTACTTGTATTCAATAATCATTAGTCATAGTCAATAATACCAATTAATAGCAATACAAGACAATTTGTTTTTGTTTGTTTTAATTGAAACATCTTCAGTCCTTCCTCCCACCTCATGCTTTTCCACACACACACTTCCATTATTAGATTGATTATATTTGCTAAGTGGTGCATAACCCAAACACACAGAGGAAACATTTGAAATGCTTGTACATTCCCCCCCCCCCGCCGGCCAATCTCCTCAAAAGACAGCATTTGTTTTTAGTCTGCAGTAAGTTACTGTGCCACAGTGGCCGACTTGTTTCTTGGTCTTATAGTGCTGAACATAAACTTCTGTTTTCAATCAGCTTTAGGTAATCACTGAACTCAGCTCTGTTGTATTATCTTTTAATTTCATCTTCAGACTCATACAAACAATTCAATCCAGTTATCCATTACTTAGCTCCAAGTAGAAATAAAAAGTAGATCAGCTTTCCAATAACGCCTCATATTTATATGACTGACTGAACAGTTAAATATAGTATCTTGTCTTCTGGCTCAGCCTTTACAACCAAAAAGTATAGTTTAACATGATTTTTTTCCACCCTTATTTCCCCTCTGATCTGCAGTAAATACGAGTTGAACAGTTGTTAGAGCAGTTAAAATAATTTATTGCACTTAGAACTAGAAAGAGACATTGAGCCAAACACAGTTAAAACAAAAACAATGCGCTGATGTTGTTAAAGAGTTTTAATCAAGCAAATATCCAAAAAGCTTAAACAGGATCAGGTTAGGAACAGATCACCGGTCACAGCAGATACAGTTATTACAAAGGCATTACACAGCAGTGGATTATTGCTGGGCCACTGTTGTTTTAAATAAAATCTCAGACTGGATCATGGATCACATGAGAACCTGAGGTGAGCAAAGCAATGAGACAGGGGGTCGCAGAGCCCCTCTCCCCCATCCCAAGACACTGGCATTTAAGAGTCCTCAAAACATTGGGCTCCAACTGTGAGCTGTCCTGTAAAAAGCCTGACACTACTCCTGCACTAGAATATGACTCACTATGCATGTCATTCAGAAAATTAGGAGGCAAATTAAGACTTCATAATTATTCTCAGTTCTTTATGAGTCTTCATTTCTGCTTGAATAGCTAATGCTCATGCAAACGTAATTTTCTATCCAATTAGCACATCATTATCCCTGTTTGAAATAATCAAATCCCGTTACTATTCAGATGCAGATTAACTGCAGCTGTATTGTGTCCTAAGACCTGAGTTTGTTTTTTATGGCGTCTTCTCACAACTTTAGACTACTTGGGGACGGTCTTTATATCTTCTCAAAGCCCCGACTCAGGTTTAGATTGAAAAATATGTAAATAAATCAGACAGAAAGAACATTAATAAGCACGAGGGATCAGTGTGCAATAGACTCCACATCTGCCGGTATGAAAACAGTTCAACTCTACTGAAATAAGCATGCATATTCACAATCCAACGAGAAACACTGAGACAATCTGTCTTACTAATACTGCAGCCCGCAAATCAAAGTATGCATCAGGAACGTCTGTGGAGAATCTGTGCACACAGACTAGATACTGAGATTCAAAAATATCTGTCTTTAAGAGGAAATCTTTCTGGAAAAATAAATGTTTGCAGCCAAAAATTAGTGCAGGTTTTTTTTTTTTTTTCCTGTGTTGTTTGTTTTGCTAGAGGCAACAGAGGTGAGACCAACCTATCATCTATTTGAGATGTGAGCGCTCGTTCATTTGAAGGCAAATCCTCGGTGAACACATAAATATATATTTATAGTTTGTCTTTTGTAGACTCGCCATCAATACGAGAAACAAGATACAATTTCATGGCCACGGCAAAAATGAGAGAAACCAAACAAACACGGCAGCGAATTAAGAGCTGACATTACATGAACGCTTCATAATTTGTTCTGTCGACACGTTCCCTTAATTTATTTTCCAAAGTAAAATAATGTCTGATCAGCTGAACAGGCTAGGGAAAAAAAAAGAACTGTTATATATATATATATATATATATATATATATATATATATATATATATATATATATATATATATATATATATATATATCCCCATTTTATCCTGAATCTTACACTGAAAACAATTTCATGGCTGGCATAAGGCAAAGGGAAAAGTGCATATTTTCATGTTGTTCAATGATTTCTCTGCAATTATTATGTGCCAAAGCACTCTGATTAGCACTCTGCGGGGTTAGAAGAGCTTTACAAAAGGAAAAAGCATACAATCAGAGAGATATTGTTGCCCCCAGGAATAAGCTCGCCATACCATATGATTCCTTTCAAACTATTATGTTTTCAGACAGCTGTCACAGTGAGTAGACGTGACTCGTGATGGATCATACAGATCAAGCGCACTTCCATTCCTTCTTTCTCAGAGAACTACATTGCAGGCTCAGCTTGCTGCAGTAGCATCATCAAGACAAGCAGATATACTCAGCGCTGTGTGGTAAACTCTCTGCGCTCATAAACCAGATTAGGTGCTGAAGCTTGGAATTTTCTATTTCGTCACCACCTCCAGAGGGCATCGCTGAATGGACCGAAAGCGAGTGGAGCCGGCTGAGCTGTGGCAACGCTGCCAAGACTGGTGCCAGGAGAATAAATGGAACATTTGCTATCACAAATGTTCAGACTATTGGCAGGCACTATAGCAACATATATAAAAAAAATGTTGTTGTTGTTTTTTGTTTTTGTTTTAAAATGGGATTTTCTTTCTCTCTTTCTTAATTTTTTGAACAAAGTGGGCCTCACAGGAATACTGTTAAAGATTTGCTACTGTTCATAAAGGAGGTCATCTCAACAACATCGGAGTACATGGTTATTAGAAAGCAGCGCAGGCTCAGATGCTTCATAATCGCTCGCCTGCCAGACAAGCCTGTTCTTTCTTAACAGGATGCAGACTTGTATATTCCCAAACCTGGGATGATATTAAGCTCCTACACTAATATACTTATTTATATGCTAATACACTGTACATGTACTACTTGTTTGATCAGTTGTAGCATCATTTCATCCTCAACTTTGAAAGTGACTTAGCAGACTGTGGCAACGTGCAAACAGTAGTGAAGTACCTCCCTGTGGCTCGTTTATCAAATTATAGCTTAAAATTTTTTTTTTACATACAAGGAGGTGAATTTCCCAGCTTATCATCACCATCATTGCAAAAAGTACCTGAACTGAGCTGTTCTCCAGTTTGACAAACGTTCCAATTAACAACAAGCTTAATGACAGCAACATGTGAAACACTATAACGTTACATCTAGAGATATTAGATCTGACTGAAGAGGAAAATGTTATTAATGTCAGTACCATTCAAATAAACAGAATAAAGAAATATTCTTAAATGGGTCAAAATCACAGCGTCTTTAGAATTAAAACAAAAAAACAAAACGAAGAAAATAACCCCCGCCCAAAGTCATTATCCAGTGTCGATTCAGGATCAGCCAGGTAATGTGAATCGCATGACAATGTCAGACTTTGGTTTAACATAAAATCAACAGTAAAACCAACACTATTATACATGACAGATATCTGACAACAGATTCTAACAATGTGTGTTAGCGAATCACAAGTAACAAGTGGTTCTGGGAGCCACTCTGCAGAACAAACTAAGGTACATAAGAAGGACTGAATCTCTTGGTTTCCTCACCTTGCCCTTCCTCTTCTTGTCCCCTCCAAAGAACTTTCCAATCTGATCCAGGAGGCCGGGGTTCTTCTTCCTCCGACCCAGGCCGAAGGCGGCCTGTGCAGAGCTGCTTGCGGATGCCATGGTTGTATTAGCAGTTGGTATTACGCTTGTGTTTGTCAAATGTGGGGTTCTTGCGTCTCTCTTAAATGAGAGCCGACAGAGGAGGAAAAAGAAAAAAATAGAGGAAAGGGAGGGGAGGAAAAAAAAAGCTAGCCTAATCTAGGTCCTGTTCTTGGCTCTCCGACCCGCACTCTGAAGCCGCTCCGCTGTGCTCCTGGATGGTCTGCAGCTCGTCCGATTCGGAGGGTCGGTCTTTGAAGGTGTTGTCCTCTCGGCCCGGGGCATCTCGGGAGAAGAGGCGGACCAGGTGGGGGCGTGGTGTGGCAACGTCAGGGTCAGCTGTGCTGGCGGGGCTCCAACACTGGTGGGGGTCTGTGGAGTCAGTCACCGCTGGCTTCTCCGAGACGCAGCCATTGTTCTGGTTTGCATCTGCCTCACTCAGGCCTGCGCGAGAAACAACAAGGGTCATCTATGGGCTTGGGCCTGCATGGCACACAACAAACCCAGAGCAGCACAATGGCTTCTTTTGATGAGAGCAGGGCCTTCCTGCTGCAGCGAAGACCAACAGAGCTAATACAATTTACATGTTAGCTGCAATGAAACCAACCAGTGAGCTGGAAAAGGTGTGAATGAGACATGAGTAACTGAAAGATGTTCAGTAAGTTAACTACTCCCTTCTCAGGGGCTCTTACCACATTGTGGGCTCTACTTGTATGCTGTAGTAGGTGGGATCACTAGTTTTGACTCAAACACAAGTAATTAGACTCTTGATTTTTATTTTTATTTTGCAATAATTCAACTATTTCACTTTACAAGAGCAGTTTTAAAACAATCACTCTGAAACTTGACAATGGCAACGGATTATCTTCCCATCGTGGCACTTTTTCGCTTCAACTCAGGGGCGGCTCTACGGGGGGCAATCCCCCTCCCCCCTGCTGTAGAGCCTTGCCCCCCCCCACACTCTCTGAATCGTCCACTTTGACAGCTATCCGTTAAACTGGCCAGCTCCCACAGCAGAGGACATCCAGTGCATTCCTCCGTCCAAAACAATACGCACACTGTACTGACAGAAATGGTGTAGCACTACACCAGAGAATCTGCATGCTAATGCTGGCTGAAACAGTGGTCTTTTGTCACAGCTGCATAGTTATTACAAATAAACAAAGGGCCCACTGTCACTAAAATAACTCCTATAAGTATGGATTTTCAGCCCGATGCACGGTGACACTTATCCGATTTAGGACCCGAGAGCTACCAGGCTGCTGGCTGTGGGTATAGAGCAAGTTTGGATCTAGTCTATGCAGAATTTAAGCTTTGATTTACCACAATTTTAGGTGGAATTACTTCTACAGAAACACATCCAATGAATCTTCTTTTCTTCTGGAAGATTTACATCTCGTGAATCACTTAAAGATCAATTGAAAGATGGGTCATTCCATCATCCATTATTCCGCCTATTTTAACAAGCCAATACTCAGACATTTATTGATGTATCCGTCCCAAATTACAGATCCTGATTAATTATAATGGTAACAAAGACCAGTGAAAATTTTCAGGCTTTTATCTTTATTAGTTTAAAAAAAAAAAAAAGTATATTCACATTCAAACATCGTCTCAGATCTCAGAAAAAAAGTGAAAGGGGTACATTTTGTTCTTACTTACAGCTTTTAAGACAGACTGACACATAATGATGATCAGCCTCTCACCCAGCTTTTTAAAGACAAAACATAAATGCCTATACACACTGCTTTTGATTGTGTCTGTCCAAAAGGTTTTGCAATAAAAGTCTCACATCACCATAGAGAAAGAAAGAAGCTGTTTTAAAAAAAAAACCAAAAAAAAAACACCACCATTTCTAAAATGACGTTTAAAGTGCCTTATTAAACAGATCTAATAATGCAGGTATTTTGCTACCAGTGCTGCTTTTTCATCACTTATTCAATCCCAATACTTTCAGGTTGCCCAGTTACCTCTAATACCCTTGCAATTTAATGCCAGGAAAGGTGTGAGAGCCTCTGAAGAAAGCCATATCCTTTAAAAGGCCATTTTGAGAAAGCAAGGCCCTGTAATCTAATAAAAATCTTTCAGGCATAACATTTGCTTTAAGGCAGGTGAGACATCCAGTTCAAAGACCTCTTATAAAGAGTTTATATTAGCTACAGAAATACTTACGAATAAATAAAATGTGCAAAAAAGGTCTAGTCAAATACGATGCAGCTCATATTAAAGCCAAAATTGCCACAACAACCTATTCACTGTATTACTCTCATTTTTTCCTTAGGAAAAAACAAAAAAAAACAAAACAAAAAAAACAAAAAACAGGCTGCTTTAAGTTGTAGTCCTAGCACTGATCCAGTTCTTCACCACCAAATTGGTGTGAGGCCAATAGCCTGTGTGCTGTTACTACAGTTTGTTCACATATGCAGCCAATAGTAAGGCTCAGTGTAACTCTGTGTTTGAGGTGCTGTATTGATCTGTGGCATTTCCAAAGGAAAGTCTTAGTCATCTCATTTGCTTGAAGCACCAAATACATACTGCACTACGACAAAAAATGATTTTTAGATTGTTTTTAGATTCTTATCTACAACAAGAATACCATCAGGGATCCATTTGATGGCCTTCAAATTCTGCAGCATTGCAATGACCTGAAAGTTAGAGCCAGATACCATAAGAAATTTCCTCACAGGCATGAGCAATAAGCAACAACAAGCCCCGGGTGCTGGAGTAATGCTATATATGATGGATGTAGCCACTTATGCCATACATTGGCTTTTTGACTTAGTTTCACATTTTGTTCTTTTTTTCCCTGTCCATTTTTAAACCTAATGGTAGTGGTGGGAGATATATCGAATATACTCGATGTATTGCGAATTCTTCCACGTGTGATGGTTAAAATGGCTTTAGCGTAACCATCGAGTATAAATTGCCAGGGAAATATTGAGCTGTTTGCATCTAATTCGCTGTGAGTTTTCTTTCCCCAACATCCAGCGAATGCATCCCAACTCTAAAATTTTCTACCTAGCATATAAACACATACTGAGCATGCATGTTTATAATCTACCAGATAGGAAAAAAAATATGGCGACAGCGGGAGTTTCAGACGAGTGAGGGAATGAGACCCTCTGTTGTTTGGATTTCCCTCTTGAACAAAATGTTATATATCACACAAAGTAGGGATAGTATATTAAAATGCTCAACAGGTTTTGTGGTATCAGTTATTGCACAGCAAACTGCAGAATTAATAAGACTTTTTTTTTTTTTGTTTTTTTTAGTGGTCTGCCCATGAGGCCTTTTAGATTTCCATCATCTGCTTTTTTCCTCAGCACAGTGGTGCTGGCATCACCTAACGCAATACCAAGAAAATACAAATTACACTGAATAATATCCTGACGTGCAGTAACTGCAGGCAATAACATGCCAGCATAGTATTAACTACATGTTCATCTTATATTACCAGAAATAAGGTTGCATGCTTGTGAGTAAGAGCTTAATTAGTGAACTCCGTGTGTGCTTATGACAGCTGGATAGCACACATGTGGGTGACTGACGGGGCTGTTGATCAATGCTGATGACTCAGAGATTACTGAACCAATATGTTGGCATTTGAAGCCAATCTGGACTCACTCAACAAACCATACTCTGGTGGACAAACACACCCCCTCCTCCCTAACATGCAGACATATCATCAGCTGCCTAATGATGAAGGGTAGAAGATGACAAAGTGACGTGAACCCATTTGTTTAAGTCCTAAACTGTGAAAATGTTATTGTTACCGTTCAATGATCGATCATCGTCACCTTTAAGTGGTTCTATTGGATCTCTTATGAGATAAGGCTGTTTTGTGTCCATTACCATTCTGCGTACAGTGGAGCAGACTGCCATCTGTGTTTTTGATCTACCTTAGTCTTCTATTTGATCAAACAACAGCCGAGGCAAAAAGCCATCAATTGTGATTGTGACCTGCTGCTTTCATTTTGTCTACTGCTTATTTTGCACCCTATTATCATTTGTCTATAAAAAATTAAACTGCTGAAAGAGTCTTTCTGAAAGATTACCAGATTGCTTTGGACACACGGTTTTAGCTCAACGAACAAAACATGCTGAGAGTGAAATTAGATGGACGTTAGATAGAAGATTTTGATTTAAAATCCCCCAAATTCATATTAAGTTGTCAAATTTAATTGGGAGAAGAAACAGGACACTATCCTGCTGTATAACTACTTGCACAACAGTGGCCCATGGAACTGCAATTAAAGTAATAGAACAAGCTCAGAATCCCAGGTAATGAAGCTGGGAAGACAAGATGTCCTTGTTAGCTAGCTTGTCAAATATCTGTGTGTTCTCACAGATTTTCGGTAACTTTTCTGCGACATGTTCACTGATAATTCCTTGCTGCTGTCAAGAAGTATTACGCACAGTACTTCTAAACAAGCTGAACTGTAGGTAAATGCTTTGAAGGCCTCTAGTTTCAGCTGCTAGGTCACTGACGGCTGAGCGACAGCGTGAACTCTGACATTTTAGCGAATCCCAGGCTCTTCATCTAAATACAGAATGACTTGTTTCTTCCAGGATTCAATCTACCCTTTAATAGCATTTTCCGGGAGTCGGTGACTCAATCAACACCTAAGAAATATCCTTCAAACACCTCGCCAATTCCATTGATTGCAACTGTCTGTGCCGCTCAGTCTGACAACTAGTTTGATTTGAAGTCACAGAAAAGTTGGAGCAACAAAGTGCTTCTTTTCATTTTTGAAGAGAAGAGAATCAAGCAATTCATGTCATAGTTTCTCCCCCATGTAGTCTTTGACTATATTAAAAACTTTTTATCCAGCTGCGTGGCTACACCTGAGACGACACGACATACATGAGACGCACAAGTTGTAAACAACACTAAGGGCCAATTATCCAGCAGTATGATGTATAGCAGGGTGGAGAGAAGCAAGCATCTGCTGAAAGCATGTTCACTTCACCATGTTGGCTTTTTTTCATAAATACTGCATTTATTCATGGTTTGAAGACGGGAGATAATGAGAACTCCTCAAGCCCTACCATCAATGCTTCTGCCGAGGGCTCCTTAAACCACTGCAGAGGAACCAGTGAGTAATGTCAGACTGCTGTGCATGCTCTTTCAAACATATCACTCTAGGTTTTTGCTATTTTCTTTGCATTAAGAGATGCTCGTCTTATTCAAAATAAACTTTTCATCTTTAGATATGTCATCTTTAATACTTCTCCACACCAGCTTCAAGATATCCCGATGAAAATTTAGGTGACAAAAGTGCCTAGATGGGCGGGTAATGCTGGTGAAGTTACAGGTGTCCCTTCCCACCTTTGAAATCTCTGATTATTGTGACATGAACAATTACCATCACCACCTCTGCTTCCTGCAGGATCTACATTCAGTAGTGAGGTAAAGACAACTGGCCTGTCTGATCTGTTCAATG